TCAGATGTATATATATAGAGCCTTTCAAACACTAATATTGCTCTAAAAACAAACCCCCTCATTATTAAAAAGACCAATTACATTTGAGTGGTGCAGAATATTATTACGTCTGTAGTTCTGTTCTTTGTAAAGTAACATTTGGAGCCAGAGATGCTGATGTTTGCTAGTGTCAACTGGTGTCGCATCAAATAGTTTCCCCGTCAAAACTAGTTTCCTCACATTCCCAATTGCAACAGATTTCCATCCATCAGGTTGTTGTTTTTGTTTTTTTACAATAGACATGTATGAGCAAAAAAGGTCTGGATTTTTTTTTTCTTTAAATGTTGTGGCTGTAAAGAAAAGTAGTTAAGAGGAAAACTAATCCCATTTACTGGGAAACAGATCTTGATGGGGTACACAACCTGAAAGTCAGTCTTTATTTGCACTCATCTATTTGGTCTGGGTGCAGATGATTTCTTGTGCTGAGCCTAGAGTTGAGAGAAAACAATAACCACATAATAAAGCATAAGACCAGTATAAAATGGTAAATAAAGCATAAGACCAGTATAGAATGGTAAATAAAGCATAAGACCAGTATAGAATGGTAAATAAAGCATAAGACCAGTATAGAATGGTAAATGAATAAAAGACAAATGTGAACATTGAGAGATGATGAGTGTTTACTCGCATGTTGGTTATAACTCACTGTTCATGTTCTTTTGCACTTGTATAACTTCAGTTATAATCAAAATATATTGCACTTCAAGATGAGGTAGATTTAGTGTTTTTTAGTTTGTCCTAATGTTGTTTGACCACCAGTCTGACTGTTGACACATCAGATAACAAGTCTGTTGCAGATTGTAACTTGTATTAGACGTCTTTACCCTGATAACAGTGATGAGTGTCACTTCTCTAGTAAACAAGCCTGGATTATTTGTTACTGGGGGGAAATGTACAAAAATATAGGTTTAGTTTTTTTTTGTTTGTTTTGTTTTTTGGAAAGGAATTTCAACCACAAGAACAGAAAGGCTTAAGTGTTTTTTTTTATTACTATAACAGTATATTAGACATGTTTTTAATTTGAGTTGCTTGATTGTCAGCTTCATGTAAAGGTCGTTTTTTTAAATAAATACGGTAGTTGTAAATAAAATTTCATGATTTGTGCAGTTTGTTTTGAAAGTCATTTCCCGTAGTTTCCAGACTATTGAGCACACCCTGAATTTAAGCCACGCCCACTAAATTAATATGTGCGTGTTTATAAAGGTACAAAAATAGGCCGCACTTGTCTATAAGCTGTGGGTGTCCATGTTGTAACATGAGATGTTTACACAGACTTTTTTATTTATTTACTTAAATATGTACAGGTAACGTACACAAATACTGTACGTACAGTAAAATTATTTATTTTATATATTTTTTTAGTAGTGCCTGTAATACAACCTGTTTAAAAAAATTTTTTTTAAAGTACTGTAGCCTAAAGTCACTGATTGCTATCTTCGTCTTCCTCCTGTGCACTAAAACCACTAAAGTTGTCTTCTTCAGTGTCAGAATGAACAGCCTCAGAAATACCTCGTCCTCCGTCTCTCCTTCGTTGTCGCTCTCAGCTTCACTTTCGTCTCGAGGCAAATTCGTCCTTGAGCTTGTGCTGTCCTCTTCAACACGCAGCAGTCCAGAAACCTGTTGGTGATGGAGGACGTTTCTACACTACTCCACATTGTCAGGATCAGCTGACCAACTTGAGCAAAATTTGCTCTGCGCATGCGGCCAGTTTTGTCTAATCTTATGTGAAGCAGCTCTGTTTCCTTCTTCGACAGCCAGATGTTGAAAGATGCATCATCTGCATTTCTTCGTACGTTTTCCAGGAAGCGGGTCTGTGCATGAAGCTCAAAGTAACAGATCTGAAGAATTTAGTGCGAGTTAGTTTCATTTACGGTAATTGAAGGTTTCATTGGTCCACTGTGACCTGTTCAGTAATTTCATTGGTCGGATTTTTACTTTTTTTTTTTTTACCTTTTTTATTTATGCACGTGGTCTCACTGAGTCGCGAGGGACCCCGCCCCCAAGAGACTTGTATTGGGCAGCTATGTGTGCACCGGGTGTGACGAGGCTAAATGTTTTGGCAGCATGAAGCTCGTTAGTGATGACGGAAGATTATGTTTAGGTCATGGATGTTTTTCACTTACTGATATTTAATTAATATAGAATCATGCGTGTGAGTTAAAGATGTTTAGTCTGAACGAAGTGGAGCCTGCAGGAGCACGGAGCCTGCGCAGATGAACTTAAAGGCCCCAAGCTGGAAAGCAGAGTGGTCTTGACCTCGCCTTTTCTGATGAGGTTTAAGTTGATGCTCCTTTTTGCTGTCTGCATGCAGACCTTGTGATCCGGGCGTCGTGTAACGTTTTGCACGCCTGTTTCCAATTGCTGCTCTGCTTGCAAGGATTAAACCTGGACTGTAAAAATCTCTCATCCACACAGGACTCTTTATCAAATAAGCCACACAGGCTTATTTGATAAATGAGTTGATAGGATAATTAAATTATCCAACATTTAGCCTGTCAAAAAAAAAATCCATAAATTAGCAGCAGCATTGTATAAGCCACAAGGTTCAAATACTGTTTAAAAAAAAAAAAAAAAAAAGTATAAGTAGTGGCTTATAGTCTAGAAATTACGGTGCACTGGCTTATTGAAATTTGACATCACATTAGGCAAAACAACCAAACAAGTAAACTACAAAAATCCTCTCTTGGATTAAATGTCATTATCAAAGCACACTTCTGTTCATCTACGGGTGTTCGTCCATGTCGACACATCCTTCTCCCCTCAGGTCTAAGATTGAAGGAATGCAGAATGTGCAAGGTCCTGTTCCTTAAATTAGACGGGACTTTTTCCCCCCTTGTAGTGTCACAGATGTACACAGACTTGTGATCTATATGTAACCTGCGTGACCCTGACTAAAAATTCCTTTTTAATTGACTTCCTTTGAAGGTTTAGAAAGCGAGTTTCTCACAACACTTAAAAGGTTTTTTTTGGAAACAACGCCACAAGCAGATGACCTGGGAACCAGATTGCACCAATAGCTAATGTGCAGATAAACACATCATCACTGTGCATGGGAACTTCAGACACTGCCCTGTTTCTGAATGGAAACAGTCTTTTTACTCTTTACTACTGAAACCAACAGACGAGATGTGACAAATGAAACGCAGATATTTTTTACTGTTTGCTAAAGTCCAAAAGATGTATCAGCACCGATCACAGTCAGCCATTTATTACAGAATGAGTATGAAATAATACGATTGAGTCTGGTTTATCTTGATATTTCAACTTTTAATGATGTTTTTTGTCAAATGGAAGCAGAGAAAGAAGACATTTTCTTGGTGTAATTTGCTGTGTGTGCATTTCATAGGGAGCTTGAGGCGAAGCATGGCGTTCACTGCAACATGACGCTGCTGTTCTCTTTTGCTCAAGCTGTGGCCTGTGCAGAAGCTAAAGTAACGCTAATATCGCCCTTTGTTGGGAGGATCCTCGACTGGTACAAGGAGAACACCGACCGCAAAAGCTACGAGCCACATGAAGACCCAGGTAACAAGAACCATTCTGAAGTTTAAGGAGAACATTTTAAACTTTAGGGAGTTTTAATCTGTTCTAGTTTACACCAGCACAGCACAACTTCTGCAGTTAATTTACTGTACAGAATCTATAGCAGAAAATGTTTGATTATAACTGATTGATTACAAAAATGGTAATTTATTCAATCTTTGTATCTGAATGAAGGAAAACAAAAATTTAACAGTTTTACCAGTTAAAGCTTGTGAACAAGATTTAAAAACACTGAAGCCTTTTGATGTCTTGTTCTTTATGCAACGTCTTCCTGTTACGTGTATGTTGTGTTCTGCTACGATGGAGTATTAGGGCCACGCTAAGAATTTAAAAAGAATTACATTACAAGAAAATCGTGAAATTACGAGAATAAAGTCGAAAAATTACAAGAATAAAGTCGTAATATTAACAGAACTCTGACACAAACAAGCAGTCTTACAACTGGTAAAATGATGAATGTTGAGTATCTTGTTATACTTTGGTTTTGGTTTTACAAATAAGGAAATACTTGATCTGTTAGCAGATCAGCTTCAGATTATTATCAGTATCTGGACTTTGAAATAATTGTGCAAATGACTATGTCTGTTTTGAAGAAAGAACCACACAGATTTGGAAGATATTGCTTCTTTTGTGGAAGAGGAGCTTTCTGGCTTTTTATTCTTGTAATTTTAAGGCTTTTTCTCGTAATGTAATTTATTTATTTATTTTTTTCCTTATCTTGGCCCTACTATGTTGTTGTTGTATCTCAGTGCAATGATAATGAAGCTTATTCTGATTCGAATACTCCACCCAGATCGTTTTGTTGGTTGTTGCATTTAGTGACTTTAAATCTCCAGAAACAAGTTCCTTCAGTGCCAAGGTGGCAGAGTATTTGTAGACTGATCTCCGTCAGTGTCGGAAAGCAAAACAACGATAAATGTCGTTAAATGTGAATGTTTGGAGTGTTTTAGAAATCACACAGTGCAGAAGAAAAATGTTAAAACCTCTGCTCAGTGCATTAAAGCCGGAGCTTTAGTTATTTAATATGCGTTAGTCATGTTTATAACATTTACAACATATACATTCATATATATTATTGTCACAAACCCATAAAGCATCACCCCCTTATTATTATTTTTTTTAATTTTTAACCAAATGAAATTGATTGTGATGAGTTTTGTGCAAGCTTTTAATTTCCAGAGAACTAGTGGGAATGGGGAGGAGCAGTGAAGAGTAGAATTTGTAACTATTATTTATGCAGCGATGTCAGCTGATGGGTGACTTTTAGAAAAGTGAAGCTATAGAAACTCTGTCTTGGTAATGACTGGGTGCAAACAACAGTCAAACAATTGGCGGTCGTCACTGAGCTGCTTCTTTCCCAGCTACCAATGCGTCACTCATAAGATGCAGTCAGTGAAACAGATCTGCCACATTCTCAACACCGAGTTGATTTAACCCTTCGTCTGCATCTGGCAGCAGTGACGAGTTTAAATATGTGTTGGTTTTTTTACATTAATAGAAGCACCGGTTGGAAAGTTTTCCTCCTGCAGAAATTGTTTCAAGTTCTTTAAAATCTTATTTTAGTGGAAGACTTATAATAGATTTTGTAAATATTTAAAGTGTGTATTCTTTTAGTACTGTATTTTCCGCCTCTGACAATCCGGAAATGTGGGCCAGTGTTGTGCCAAAAATTGATGGGCTGCCAAATGGTGGCTGTGGTAGCATACACAGGAGGACTTTTAACAAGAATTTAACAAGATTAACACTTAAAAAAAAACAATTATTTGTTTGCTCAAAATTATAGTAAATTTGTGTCTGTTTAACGTTTCCTTAATAAATGCAGTTTAATGGTCAAATTAGCTGCATTTTGCAGTGCAGCTGATTTGACGGTTGCTCCGAGCGAGCAGAACGAAGGTGGCAGTCTGTGGCAGGCCGATTGTGTCATTAATAGCTGGTGAAGATTCTCAGTCATCCAGGACATGGTAAATTCAAAAAAGTTCAAGACAAAAACAGTAAAGTATAATAAATAAAGTCCAGTTGTTTTTGTCTTGAACTTTTTTGAATTCGTCATTAGAGCCACGTTTACCTATTACATGATACAACGTCATGCCTTATGACTGCTACTACTCTGCTACCATCAAGTGGCTGAAAATTGTACTGTTCCTTTTTTTTTTTCCCCCAGTCAGAATGAATGAAAACTGTCATATCTCAGTCAAAACTTGGTTTATAAATATGGGAAAAATCCATAAATATGTCACTTCTGCCTGTAAGTCACAGGGCATGTAAATTATGCAAAAAGCTGTGACTTGTAGGCCGAAAAATATGGTGGTAGTAGTTTTTCCTTGTTAATGTCATCAGGAAACAAAGGGGGATGAATATTCATTTAATTAGGTGGGGAGTTTTTTAATTACCAAATTAAAACTAAGTTGGTCCTGCAATTTGAATGTTTTTTTTTGTTTGTTTGTTTGGGTTTTTTTTGGGGGGGGGGGGGGGGGGGTCCGTCTGCAACCTCAAAGTCAAACACTGAATTTCTAATACTGATTTTGATCCAGAATTGGGCTGTTTAACCTGTTGTTATTTTTCTTCTTTTCTAGGTGTGATCAGTGTGACAAAGATTTTCAACTACTACAAGAAGTTTGGTTACAGCACTGTGGTGATGGGCGCCTCCTTCAGAAACACGGGGGAGGTGAAGGCCCTGGCTGGTTGTGACCTGCTCACAATCTCCCCTGGTCTGTTAGCAGAGCTCAGCCAGGATCACAGCTCGATCACTGAAACACTCAGTGTGGAGAAAGGTACTACACCAAGCAGGACAAACTCTTTCAAAAGTTGTATTTTCTTTCACATCGAGTGCCAGCCACTCAATCATAGCTCTGTGACTGCACATTGTGTTTGGCTAAATGCATCAGGATATTACACTTAACATCTCCAACATACACCGACGACTCAGAAAGTACAGTTGTGTGAATAATTTCATGCTCTGTGTGGTAGCTGTAGCTTGTAAACAATAATACAGTTGTGGCTAAAACTGCTTTTCAATTTGATTCAGTTTATATAGCACCAATTCACAACAGTCATTTGGGGCGCTGTACAAAAACATTCACATACATTATAAAATGCCAATTGGTAAAAATGATCTTAAGAAGCCAGCAGATTGTGTTGAACCTTCACTTTGTTGCGGTCTCCTTTCCTGAGCAGCACTTTGGTGAAAGTGAAGGAACAGTTTCTTCTTCTTCTTCTTTTTTTTTTTTTTTTCTCATTCAACCTTTATTTAGACAGGTTAATCCCATTGAGCCTTGAGGACTCATTTACAAGAGAGACCTGATTTCAACAAAGAATGAGGACAACAATGGACAGTTATAAAAAGGCATACAGATTTTTCTTTTCTTCCTTTTTTTTTTTTTTACAAATTAAAATAAGTTTGCAAAAAAGTAGCAAAAACAGCTAGATTATAAGAATTATTATAATAATAATAATTTTACCAGGAACAAACCTCCAGCAGGTCCAGACTTACAGGAGGCCATTTGCTTCAACTGGCTGGAGTTATGGAGCACAGGAAAACAGAGAGGCTGGTCTAGGTGTAGTTTCTATGAGAAGAAAAACACTGATAACATTATTCGTCTTTAGAAACATGGACAATAGAGCCAGTAAATTCAGCAGCAGAGTGAAGAAATGTGGTCAGTTTGTCCTAGAGTTGCATTCAGGCCTAAAAAATCCGGCCCGGCCCGAACCTGTATCATTTTTTCCAGCCCGAAACCGACCAATTGACTGTAATTACAGACCCGAACCTGAGAAAAAAATGACCTTTTTTTTCATTAAGCTTTTACTGCTTTTGTAAACAAATCAGTTTGACATTTAAAAGTATTTCAAAGATGGGAAGATATAATATTTCTTGTTTATTAACAAGAGTCAGTGGATTATTATAGTTATTATAATATAGTTCTTAACGGTCGGCGGACATGCACGGCTGATGAGCCAAATGCCCACTGTCACAGCAGCTGAGTCCAGTTAAGCTCCATCTGGACTTTTGTTTTTACTTTTTTCAACCGGCCGGTCAGCACGCGGTCAAACAGCCGTGCGCAGCTGATGATCCCAATTGGATTGTCAGCCGCGTGCGTCCGCTGACTTGATGAAAAGCCCGACCTGGCCCACCCACCCATCTAGCACATTATTTTGGCCCTGCCTGAATTTCAGGTCAGGCCAGGCCGGGTGCAGGCCCGGGTTAGAAATGACAGCTCTAGTTTTTTTCTCCAGCAGTCTGTCTATAGCAGCAGAAGTGAGGGATAGCGCAGGAAACCTAACCAACCCTAACTATAGGATTTATCAAAAAGAAAAGTCTTAAGTCCAGTCTTAAAACTGGACAATGTGTCAGCCTCATGGACAGAAACTGGAAGTTGGTTCCACAAGAGAGGAGCCTGATAACTGAAAGATCTTCCTCCCATTCTACTTATGGAAACTCTAGGAACCACAAGTAAACATTCAGTCTGAGAGCCAAGTGCTCTGTTGAGAAAGTATGGAACAATAAGATCTGTAATATCAGATGGAGCTAGGGTGTTGAGTGTTTTGTACATTACCTATAAAAAGTGTTCACCTCTTTGAATATTTAGTTTTTATTGCTGTCATAAATCAGTCCTGATCAAAATAAATTGATATTTTGTAAAATATAAAATCAAAAACCTTCTAATGTCAAATTATTACAGAGTAATATCAGTTAAATAAATGTCATGAAAAAGGAGTGATTGCAAAATGTTCACCCCTCTTCAAAGTAATTGTTTAATTCAACTCAAAGAAAAGATTATTAAAAAAATACAAGTCAGGAAACAGATTTCCAAGATCCTAAATGTCTCCAGGAGTTTTTAAATCCATCATCAGCTGAGCTACTTTAATTATTGGGGAATGTTTAAAAGCTAACGGGTTAAAAACCAAACTTTTTCCTGTAAGCAGTGGGTGTTTTGTTGCAGCTGAAAACAAACTGGACACATCAGGCCACAACCTGAAGAGAAATCTGCAACAACTCCTGTTCTGTTTTCACACTCGGTGTTCTTGTTTTCATTTTGCAGCCAAGACCTGTGATCTGGAGAAGATCCACCTGGACGAGAAGGATTTCAGATGGCAGCACAACGAGGACCGCATGGCTGTGGAGAAATTGTCCGACGGCATCCGCAAGTTTGCTGCTGACGCCATCAAGCTGGAAACCATGATTAAAGTAAAACTTGATTTCTCTAGTTCTGATCCTAGTGTGCGTGTGTGTTCACGTGTGTAACTAAGCACAGACCTCACTTTTTGTTACAGGAGAAGATGCTCAGTGTGAAAAATGGCCAATAAATGACGGGTGAGGTGTGTCCAGCTTGAGTGCGAGGAGACGGCCATCTTTGTCCTAAATATGAGAAGTTCTGAGAGGAACCGCTCCTCTGACCAAACTCCAGGGACCGACCTGCCGAATAAAAGTCCATCTTCATCTGTTTGGCCGGGGCTGTTCTCTGATCCAACATAAAAGGTGATAGATGCTTCAGTGAGTGTAATTTATGATGAAAAGGTTTTAATAGCAACGTTAAAGAACAAATTTCAGTCTTGGCTCAGTCACTAAGCTGTCGTTTGAAAGGACCGCAGATGCTTTTTGGGTTTTTTTTGCAGAAGACCTCAATTTTTCTACAAGCTCTTAATAAAAGTCTTAACAAAGATTGTATTGTCATTTCTCAAAAAATAAAATTACTTGTCTTTATGTTTGTGTAATGTGTTTTTAATTTTTTGAATGTAACAGAGTTACAACGTTGGGCACCCAGACAAAGCCAAATAAAAAGAATAAAACGAAGCGGAACAATTTGAAAGGTGTGCAGGAAATCTTTTCCTCTGAAAGCCTTCTTCTACTCCAACAAAGTCCATGCTCAATAATCCAGGTGTACAATCCAACAGTTTTCAGTCAGGTCCTCTACTCGTGTAACCATTGTTGTAGTTCAACGGGCTCTGGTTCAGCCAGTTTAACTTCATTCTGCTCAGCCCAGAGTTTAGCCAATCAGCACCTTTCTGTTTGAAAAGGACCATATTCATCAAACACGAGCTGGACTTTGAAAAGCAAGAAAAGCCAGCAGCTGAAGGTAAAGACACTGATTTATCTTAAATATTCATCTGCGTTCAAGCTGAGCTTTGAGATGGTAAAACTTTTTTTTTTCTGTCAATCGGCTGAGCTAAAATTTAATGATAAATGGCTCTTGAATTCAAAATCAAACTTAACGTTTAAATTTTAGGTCGTTTTCTAAGTACAGATTTTCTTTAATTTTAAGAACAGTTTTAAAGTTGTAAATGATCCGCTGCACAGCAAGCAAACAATTTGATTAGAAATTAATAAATATATAATCATAAAAAAATGAAAGCAGTTCAGTTTTAACTGAAAAATGTAAACAAAATGATTTTTTTTTTTTTTTTTTTAATACAAGTTGAGGTTCAATAAATCTGCCTGTACTCTTCTGGATATATAAATAAAATTATCTCTGCTCCATAAGCAGCTTTGTCTAATGTAAATGAAGCTTAAATTAAAAACCTCTAGCAGTGTATCCTCGGCTTACACCTGGACATTCTTGGTCCTCACAAACCTTCCTCCTTACAGGGTTCATGCGTTATTGTTCAAATAGCTTTTATTTTCCGTATAAATCAATAGAAGGTGTTTTAACCGAGTATATTTTTGTTTCAACTATAAAAACAGGATGCATCTGATTTAAAATACATCTGAGACTGAAACGAGTCCTATTTTAACTTGATCAACTCAAAAAGCAAAAAAACTTTGTTGCACTTTCAATAATCATTCTCTGCAATACCTGTGACCAGATATGGTCTTTATTATTTGTTCGGCCTCCATAGCTGCCATAATCCCACACTAATTTGAGGTTAATTTTAAAAGCATACGTATAGAAGAAGTACTTCATGTTAAACTGATTGAAGTCAGTCTGGAAAATCATGGTTGAGTGGAGTACGGTGGGTAACGTACCTGTGATGACTTTAACTGACCCAGAGCTGCAGAACGGACTAAAGTCATCTGCAAAAGTGAGATGAGCAAAGCACATTACAAGCATCATGATGTATATTTAAAGGCCAGAGAGTAGATTTATAAAAATTACAATTTCAAAGCAAATGAACTAAAATCTATATTTTTGTTTACCAACAGCAACCAGTGTTCTTGTTGAGAAATAACAGACTTGTAGCCGGATGCATCCAGGTAGAAAAATCTAAAAAAAGTTAACTTTTTTAGAACAGACTTGTAGCCCTTCTGGTCAAACCTTCAAAATCTGTGTAATCTATTAAAGCCCAAGATGTAACTCAAAGCATCTGTTGTGGATGACCCTCAGCTACTACTATTCTAGATGAATATTAGTTGTTGTGTTGGCTAATACTGACATGGTATCTTGAATTAGATTGACTTCAAAAGGTATTCAGCTAAATATGTACATCCAACAATTACTTTGTGAAAGTTTCAATAAACTGTGATCAGTGGTTCTTGAGATCATTTGGTAATGAACAGACATAAACACAAAAAAGGCAAACAAAGAAAAACATGTTGGAAAGCAGTAATTATTTCCCATGTCCATCGAATCCTAAAGCTGAACAGACTATAAAGCTCGAAAAAGACCAAGATTTAAAAACAATAACAGTGCTGAACTTGTATAAACTCGTGAATCAACTTCTAGATAAAATGTTTTACTCTAAATTGTGATCATCATATTAAATATTTTGTCGTGTTACTAATTTTTATTTTTTACAGTTTGGGGTTATAATTAAAGAAAAATCTAATATTAGCAATGTTGGTAACTGCATTGCTCATAAAAAGACAATATTTCAAAGAAGTTAGGGTCTGTGTTGAATTAATGATATCCTGACATGAAGTGATGCATTTTGTGCAGTCTTGGTGTAACTGTTGGACCTTTATCTAAATTTTACAACATGTTTTATTATAAAATCGGCGATCACGTTCAATCACTCTGTATAGTTGTGGGCTTTGTCTGGTTGAATGAAAAATGTTCACAAGTGTCGTGTTGCCTGCAGGTGTTGGGTTCTGCAGAGAACATTCATTTATGTGTTAACTCACGGCTCAGGTGACAATCCTGCACTTCCTGTTGCAACATTTACCTCCTTGCTGCAGATATATTGGGGCAGGGCTGTTCAACTAAACTACGCAGGGGGCCACAGTTTCTGAAAGCCAACAGCATCACATTCATTCAACCTTTATTTATACAGGTTGGTCTTATTGAGTCACGAGGACTCATTTACAAGAGAGAGCTGTTTAAAATAAAGAGTAAATAAAAGTAGTGTTATAAAACCAAAACAAGCTACATTATGAAACTGTGTAAAATACTAAAAACAGGAATGTGTCTGCTTTGATTTTTGCATTGAAATTAAAAATTGTTTCAAATCCCTTAAAGGGGTCAAATTCGAGAGCTTCAGATCTTTTTGTAAGGTGTTCCAGGAAACAGGAGCGGAGTAGGAGAAGACCCTTTTGCCAAGTTCAGTCCGCACTGAGAGTACACTGCAGGTAATGATGTCCTGAGATCGCACGCTGTAGCTGAACTCATGTAGTGACGTGTGGGTGGAGATGTATGAAGACAAAAGACCAAGGAGTGATTTAACATTGAAAATGTACCAGTGTGAAGTTAATGCAGACCAGTGAATACAGGGTGCAGTGATTGGTGCAGTATTACAACCAGTTATGAATCTTAGCACACCATGATAGACAGCATCCAACATCTGCAGAGTGCTTGCAGGAGCGTTCATGTAAATAATGTCATCATAGTCAGTGGAGGGAAGGAAAGTAGTTTTAAGGTGTTTCCTAGCATTCAGAGTTAGACATCTATTTCTAAAAAAGAAACCCAATTTTAATTTCACTTTATCAAGTTTTCAACATGAGGCTTGAAAAAGAGATGTGCAACAACCAAGATTCCCAATTATTTGTAAGAATCGACAAACTCAATAGGAAAACCATTCATAGATAAGATAGAAGAAAGGACTGCTGGTACCAACTTCCTGTTTGAAAACAACATCCCTTTGGTTTTATCAGCATTTAGCACCAGTTTGAGAGGGAACACATCTGACTGGATGATGTTGAATGCCAACTGTAAGAGCTGGAAAACCTTATTTAGTTCAATAATAAACAACTGCATCGTCCGCAGCATAGAAATGTAAGGATGTGTCAGGAATATCTGACCTACATTACTTATGTAGATTGTGAAGAGGGTGGGGTCCTAAGACTGAGCCTTGTGGTGCACCATTCAAAACAACACATCAAATACATCAGTCAAAACAACATGCTGTCATCTCTTTTCATAACATTTCATAATGCACTCCATCCTCTCAAAGCCTCAGCCAGCAGCTTTATTTCAGGAGGAATGCTGGAAAGCTCCATGTTCTTAGAAATTTCACTAACACTGGAGATCTAGGTGAAACTTGTTGCTTCCTTAGGTGAATATCCTGCTCTCAGTTAAAACCACTAAACGTTTCTGTCTTTTTCCAGAGATTCAGACTCCCTGTCTCACTGATGAGTTGAGATGTGGGGCAGGTTCAAAGTGCGTGTCGTGCTGCAGTGCCTGACTCTGTTCCTGTGGAGTTCAGCCTGTGGAGCATCTTCTCTGGGGCTCACGGTTCACGTTGTGCCTCTGGACAGCGATGGAGGGAAAACGGTGGGCAACATTTTCCTCAACATGTTTGTCAGTGTTTGAATGAGAATGGAAAACCGCTGCATGTAGAGAGTAAAACATATACCTGAAAGCACTGCACGGGTGAACAGTGTAAAAGGTTCGTACACAGTCTGGAAAAGTCTGGAATTCTCTTTAAGTATTTTCCAGGTTTTGAAAAGTATGATGGAAATGGATTACAGAAAAACGTTTGTTTCCAATTTTGTTTTCTTTATTTTTTTTTACTTAAACCCAAAAGTTCTCAAGTCAAACAAGTTCAAACAGCAGAGAGCATTTCAGATTTATTATTTATAAAAGTTGATCATAAAGTATTGTCAAATAAATTAATTAATACATTTAAACCCGCTCTAATGTTCATACTTTGTTTCTAAAATCTGGTTCTTTGGGAATATATATATATATATAAGAATTGAGTGATGGCTCAAATTGTTTACACATTTCTATAGTTGTAGTTCTTGTTAGGAAACCTCAAACGTCACAAAACTTAAATATGTGCTGTATAAGTGCAAATTACATGCCATACATTGCATGCTTCATGCAGCGAGTGAGCTGCAAAGTTACTCTAATAAGACTATTTTACTTTAGTTCTGAACAGGCTTTCATAAAAAACATTTTCCAAAAAATACTAGAAGGATGTAATAAAGACCATTAAATTACAAAGGTTTCCTTCTGCTGTCTTTTGCATTTAGTTTGCTGATTTATAAAGTAAATGTTTGTATTTGAGTATCATAAATGAGCGTAAATCTTTTTTTTTTTGTTAATTTTAAAAATTGAGTCTGGAAAAGTTTGGATTTTTATTACAGGAACCTTGACCTGGATGGTATAAAAAAAGGCCCGGTGTTTAAAGGTTTAACCATTTACTATATAAAAATATGACATACTGAGGTTTAAATTCCACAACAGCATCTTTTTGTCGCCAATATTAAAAATATATGTTAAATATTTCACAAATCAGCTCTTGGGTTTAAGTTGTGTTTGCAAGAATGCATTTTTGTTGTTATTTTATTTTTATCAGCCTAACTTGTCCTCAGTTCGGGCGATTAAA